GCTGAATCCTTAGGATGTTATTGATTTTACCAGGAGATTAAAAGTTCTGTGCTGGGATTGCATGCAGCCTTCTCATGAAGTCCTCCAACCATAAGAGGTGAGTTATTGAACTGCCCTGGGCAGACAGGAATACAGTCAAACCATTTACACAAGACAGGGCACAATATAGAAGTAGGGTTTGCTGTGCTATAGTGCAGATTGTATTTACTCAGAGCTTTAGGTAAGTCTTGGTTACAAACGATCTTTCAGAAGAGATTACAAAGTATGATTGCTCTGGTTTGAGTGTATCTCCCAAGGTTCAAGTATTAAGTTTTAATCTTTATTCGAAGTGGAAGAGGGTGGAACTTAATCTGACTCTTAGAAGCTGGGGGTGGGGCCTTTGGACAGTGATTAAGATTAGATAAGGCCCTTAGGGTGGAGTCTGTGATTGAATACTGGTTACTTTATAAAAGGAAGAGAGACTAAAACACACACACACACACACACACACACACACACACACACACACAAAAAGAGAGACAAAAACACACACACACACACACACACACACACACACACACACACACACACACACACACACCCCACTTCCTGTCTCTCACTGTGTAAAGTCCTACACTACTTCAGAATTTTGTAACAAGAAAGTAATCACCAGTTGTGGACTCTCAACCTGAGGTCAGAACCACAGACTAAAATTTTTTTAAGTATGAAGCCTCAGGTATTTCATTTTACAAATGAAGAAAGAACTAAAATAATAATGACACTTAAGCAAAACAAAACCATGTGTATTTGCAAGCAGTGGATTATAGTTTTTTTGAGCTCTAAGCCATGTGTAACTTCTCAGAAGGAAGATGCTTTATTTTGTGTAAGTCTGTAATAGCAACACACCAAGAACCTGTCATTCTTACGCTTTTATCAGCTCCAATCATTTGCTCAGTTCTGTTTGAATTTTGGCAGGGATCACACATATGAGCTGCCCACTGGCATCCTAACTGTGTTTGAGAAGATTCCACAATAGTTATCTTATACAATATTCCTTCTGATCCATAAATGAGTTCACAAGCTTTATGGTCAACTGAATTTTAATTATGGGAATACCCCATACCTGATGGAAATGGCAAATATTAAATTGCCAAGGTGCATTTTAAGCTATGTACAGATGAGACAAAACATTTGCTGATTTCATTCTCCTTAGTTCTCACAGGCACTGGTGATAAGCTGGGAAGACAACTTTGTCACTAACAGCCATTGACTTAATGTATTGGGAATGAGGCAGCAGTTTGGTGCTTAAGTTGTGTTTCTTCAGGCCCCATGTCCTTATAATAAGTGGCACTAAACTTTTGAGCCCCAGGACTCCTTTACTATTAAACTATTGTGATGACTTTAAAGAGCTTTTATTTACGTAGGCTTCATTTACAGGTATTTGTTTGACAAGAAATTAAAACAGAGAACAACTTATTTTTGAGGCAGATTCTGTGTTTTCCAAAGTGGTCTCAAACTTCTGGTCTCAAATGACCCTCCTTCCTCAGCCTCTTCAGCAACTGGGGTTATGAATGTCCACGTTACAGTAATGTGGCGGTTTGAATAAGAATGGCCCCCACAGGCTCATATGTTTGGATGCTTAGTCACCAGGGAGTGGAATTATTGGATAGGATTAAAAGGATTAGGAGTAGCCTTGTTGGAGATTCTAGGGGTGGGTTTCGAGGTTTCAAAAGCCCATACCCAATCCAGTCTTGCTCTCTCTGCCTATGGATCAGGACGTAGCTCTTAGCTACTGCTGGAACATCTGCCTGCATGCCACCATGTTCCTTGTTATAATAATGAACTACACCTCTGAAACTGTAAGCAAGCCCTCATTTAAATGAGGTCATGGTAGCTCTTCACAGCAATAGAACAGTGACCAGTACAAGTACCAGCATCCAACAGAGGAATCACCTGCAAGGACACATGAGCAAACATTCCACTAGCTACCAGTGTTGTCATCACTCCCACTCATGTAGTTTCTATAACATTTCAATTATACTTGTGGGAGAATGAGAGTGGGAAGGTGAATAAACAGTGTTAATACCATGGGATAATTTCAAACCCATGGCTGCCTTGAAGAGTCTCATGGACTCTTGAGGCCCTGTGTTAATTTTGAGAACTTTGACATGAAGAAGCCAATCATATTGTTTCATAGCATTTTTACATTTCTGTTATTAATTTAAGTGCTCCCCCACTTTGCTTGACGAGTTTATTTCCTCTAGCTTGTCTTCAGCGTCTGAGATTCTGTCTTCCATCTCTTGTATTCTATTGGTTATGCTTGCATCTGTGGTTCCTGATTGTTTAAGCTTTTCCACTTCCAGCATTCCATCAGTTTGTGTTTTCTTTATTGTCTCTAATTCAGTTTTCAGGTCCTGAACTGTTTCCTTCCGCTGTTTAATTGTATTTTCTTGGCTTTTTTGGCTTTCCTTGATTTCTTGCATCTTTTGGTTTGCTCCCCCCCACACCAATGAGTCCCATCATGCCATCATTATACATATGCACCACTACACTTTTTCCCCAGTAATGTTTTTTCATCTTTAGAATGTACAGGTCTCCTGCTAGGGGTGGTGTCACAGGCCTGCAATCCCAGCAAGGTGGGCAGAGGCAGGAAGATGGTGAGTTTGAAGTCTGTCTCTTCCATTTTTGTCTAGGAATTCCATCTCCTACATTTTAGGAGGCTTGCAAATTATTACAGTTAAGTTTAATATTCCTAGATTTCTTGTATTGTTTTTGCATGGTTGGTTTTGTCTACGGCAGGAAATGACTCACTTGCATTTTGACGGTTTTATTATTTACTCTCCATCTATGCCTTCCACTATGTTTTTCTTGTCTGCTTGTTTTGTTTGGCATTTCAGGGAATGGAACTCAGCCTTGTGCATGCTAGGCAGGTGCCATGTCACTAAACTACACCTCTGGTCCCCCTTCTACCCACTCCTGATCACTACATGAAGGCTTTGGATTTTGTTTGCTTTAGTGTCGGAGTTTCAGTGTCTTCAGGGCATACCTTTTATGACTATCACCAAATACTGAAAATGTGTCTGCCTTTCAATTCTCAGCTATCCTCACCAAAGTTAACTCCTATGAATATGTGACTAGAACTAGGGTGGAATTACTTGCTTGTAGGTTCCAATTTTCTAGGCACTTTACCAACATAGAGGAAATAAATAACTATGAAGTCTGAGCAGACAGTTCATACTCATTAGTATATATGACCAGCATGACTCAAACTGAGTGGTTTCTTCAGATAAATGTGGCTCAGAATTTAGCAACTCAAAAAAAAAAATGTGTAACCCTTACTCATTAAATACAATGGCGTGTCTTATTACACACAGGGATCTTGGTTTATTGGTTGTGCATAATGATTTGATTTCATAGCTATTTTAATCAGAGTGATTTCTTTTTGTTGTTTCTGTTTTTTGAAACAAGGCCTCTTGCCTGTCCTCTGCCTTGTGTGAGTGGGGATCATAGGCATGTGCTGTCACGCCAGGCTCATGAATGGGCTTTAGTGTTTTAAATGAGAGCATCTCTTGCCAGGAGTGTTTCAAGGACTCATTTTGAAATTCAAACCTTAGAGATGTGTAAGACCTTGGCTGCTAACCTAATCAAATCATTTTCTACATGAGGTGACTGAGGGCTAAAACGTTTATATGACTGGCAGGCTATGATGGAGAAAGTGGCAGAGGTGACTCTGGCTTGTATCTTTTGAACACATTAGATTGCTTTTGGACTGAAAAAAATAGAAATCACCTAGTTGAATTTCATTGTTTTACAGTTGAGAAAATGTTTGTAGAATGTGGTTAAATATTGGCAAAACACACACACACACACACACACACACACACACACACACACACACACACACACACACACACGTGCGCGCGCACGCGCGCGCGTACTATCTGCTGGGGGTAAGAATTTAATAAAAACTAGTTTCCCTTTTTGGCCTATTGTCCATCTGGAACCCAGAAGTACTAACACATGCCTGCCTGGTGTGTTTCGTCTTTATTACCCAGGAAAAGCTCAAGTGAAGCAGTACTTACTTCATTCATTTATGTTTTATTTTGTTTGGAGACCAGGCTGGCCTTGTACTCACAGAAATTCTCCTGCCTCTGCTGCTGAGTGCTAGTATTAAAGGCATGCACTACCAAACCCCCAGTATTTATAAGGCAAGGCATTCTATGGGCACATGATAAATATTACTTTATCCCTGAGTATGTTAAGATTATTTTAAAACTATATAAAAACATGAATCTATTCATGTATTTTCCTTATAACTGGGGCAGCATATCACTAACTTCCTAAAGTACTCTTTCACAAAGGAAGTGCATAGTTATCTCTTTTCGCCTATTGAACAGGCTTAGATTGACACGGGGCCAAGGAAACATAGTACTAGCTTAGGGCTTGGTAGGAACAAACCTTACTAATCCATAATTTTGCTTTTCCTAAGGGTGAAATCTACGATCTTGCACCTGCTCTACCATGGCAGCCCTCACTCTGGTGACCCCATGCCTTTGATTCACAATTTCTATAGCCACAATGTAGAAATACGTTCAATATTATAGCATTAGTCTATGGATCAAATGATACACAAATATAATCTGTCAAATCGTACGCGTATAAGAGATTACATAGCATGGCGAAAACCACCCTAGGGAAATCAGGGAACTTAGGTTCTGATGCTGGCTCACCACTCACTGTTTTTCTATGACATCTTGGACAAGTCCTTTAAAAAAAATTCTGCAAGATACACTTGGATGAGTGTCTCAAGAGTCATTTTGGAGAAGGGGAGGAGAGGCAGAATAACCCCACTTTTATCAGCTTTTCTTAGATTTTTCAAATATTATATTACTTGAAGAATGAGTTCTGCCAAAAAAATTACTATTTTATCTTAATTTTTTTTACAGTGAGTTTGCAACAGGAAATGGAATAGGTAAAATTTCAGAAAATTCTTGGATGATTTTTTTAAATTCTATTTTTACCTTGCATCCTTCGCAAGCATGAACTCCATAGTGGAAGCCTGATGCTTTGTCCCCACAGACTCGGCACTCAATGGCCATGAGAGAGTTGGAAGGCTCTTCATGAGGCCTGTTGTAGAGCTGGGCCTTTTCAGAATAATAAGGTGGGGATGCAGGTTCTACTTTGATCGCACCTGTGTATTGGGAAATTTGAGAAGATGGTTATCTCATGACAAACAATCCTAAAAAGGCACCGTGGCTTCCCATGGTGGCCTTCATATTTTCATGCCATAACGTTACTATCTTGGAGGAGAGGTGCTGGGGAGCATGAAAATGCACTGGTGCTCAGATAGGAAAAAGTAAGACTTTATCATCTCAGGCAAGTCCCAACACCCCAGAACCTCACCTGCACAAATAAATCCGGAAGGGAATTAAGATCGAGGGAATTAAGTCTGCCCCCTCTCTCCCACATACCCTACAGACACTGCTCAGGGTTTGAAGCCATGCAGCTTATTTGGCAAAAGGATGGGCTGCATCTGGCACTCATTCTGTTATTATGGGTTTCATTGAAATGTTGCACTTTAGAAGTAGTTTTAAACCTTCCTTGAAAAAGCAACAGAAGGAACATGGCTGAGAAGATGCCAAAATTGCAGCCTGAGGTGGCAGGTTATCAACAGAGTTGAGTCAAAAGGTGGTTTGTAAAGTGATCTGTGATAGAGAGCAGGAGAAACCTATTGCCTTTGCTGGTAGTTCAGGCCTAATGAATTTCCATATTTGGCCTTAACCCAGAACCACACAGATAAATACAACCACGTATACTATCTATCTAAAGAAAACAACTAGAAATTACAGGAAGTTCTTACTTATTATCAGGTAATGATTGCCAGTGACACAGGGGTGACTCTGGAAAACCAGCACATCAACCCACAAGATAAAAATCAAGGAAACAGCATCACAGAAATGATACTTTATCTTGAAAAGTTCAGTTCAGTTCTGTTTTTTTTTTAAAGTCTGATGTTTGATGGTAATTTACTTAATGGCATGATGATCTATCAATCAGCTACAGTGTTAAAAATGTAAATTTGTACAATGTAAATGTCACAAACTACAGATTAGAAAAAAATATAACTGTAAATAGTAACTTAGTGGTGACCAGTCATTTGGTCTACAACTATGATTTATTAACTAATAAGAAGCTGGAAGAATTCAAAGTTTACAGGATGGACTAAGCCTAAGATACAACTGGCAATGTAATCAGGCTAGACACGCTCCTAAGAAGGCATCAAGAAAGGAAGGAAAGGAGGGAGGGAAGGGAAGGAAAGGGGAAAAAAGGTTGGGAAGAGACATGTGCTGTCTTCATGTATCTCTTAGCCATTTGAAAAGTGAACATACTTTGGTATTCTTGGAGCTTCAGGTCATATTTATAATCAGCAACCATTGGGTCAGCTCTTGTGAATGGAATGTCTTCATAGTGTGGAGCAGAAATGCTGGAGAAATCAACTGTGGTAAAGGGCTTGATGTCAAAGGAATGGGAGTGGTCATCCATCATAGAGAGGTCCACAGAGCTGATTCCGAAGTTGGTGGGCCAGAATGGCATCTCTGTGTCAACCATGGTAATTTCTGAAATGGACAAAAGAACAGACTATGAGTCAAGTTCTGGAGGAGAAAGCAGTCCTCTAAGAATGCATAGAGAGGGAGCTGAGTTCACTCAGACTACCCAGGGAGGGAGGAGTGCATTATGTCTTCCTAGCACCATCCACATGGCTTTACAGTGAGAAGGAAGTTAGCCTTTACCTGAGTAAAGCAGACACCCACAGTGTGTAGCTACATGGAACAAATCCATCTAAATGTGAGCTCTGCTCACATTGTCCTTTACAGCAGGTCATCAGCTGGATCTGGTAATGGCTATTTCTCTTACTTCAAATTTCATCCACTTTTATTAGGATATAGCTGATAAAGTATTTAAATGATTACCATAGCGATGTTTTGATATAAGTATGCACTGTGAAATAATTGTCATCATCAATTTAATTAACATACCCATCACTTTGTAGAATTGTCATTGTCTCTGTGTTGAGAAAACATAAGATTTGCTTCCTTAGCAAATTTCAACTATATGATACAGTATTGCTAACTGTAGTCATCTTGTTGTCTATCAGTTCTCCAGGGCCTAATGGAAACTCTGTCCAGTCTTCCCATTTCCCTTATGCTCAATCCTCAGCAACCAGGAAGGATGTATGGTATTTGCTTTCCTGCTTCTGGCTTATTTCCCTTAGCATAATGTTTCTTTGGGTCATCTATATTGCTACAAAGGACAGAATTTTCCTTTTAAAAGGCCACACAATACTCCAGTATATGTATATGTGTGTGAATGTATATACATGTGTGTATATTTGGCATATGTGTGTATATACATACCACAGAGGGTTTTTTTGTTGTTTGCTTTTATTTGTTTATGTGTCTTAGATTCTTACATAGATTTCATCTTTTGGCTATAGCGAATAGTGACATAATGTATGCAGGAGCATAAAAATCTTGACATAGTGGTTTTAGTTCCCTGGTCATATGTCTAGCAGTGGGACTGCTGATCACATGGAAATTTTGATTTTTCTGAGATCTCCACATGTGTTCTATAATGTCTTCACAGTATATAGTATACATCTCCAAAAAGGTTTCTGTTATTCCACATAATTTCATCAATTTATGTACCAGTCATTCTAACAGGTATGGAACAGTATATATTATTGTAGCTTTGATTTGCATTTTCCCCAGGGATTAGTGATGTTGAATACTTTTTTCATATACCTGTTGACCATTTGTATGTTTTCTTTTTAGAAATAGCTATGATAGCCTTTGTGCATTGTCTTGGACTGAGATCTTTGGTGTTTTGTTACTGATTTGCAGTTTTCTTGTGTGTGTGTGTGTGTGTGTGTGTGTGTGTGTGTGTGTGCACATACATGCATGCATGCATGCCCACTCACATATACGCTTGTGCATGTGGAGGTGTCATCCTCAGTAACACCTTTCACAACCTTTGAGATTGGGTCTCTTGTGGCCTGAAGTTCAGTTAGGCTAGAATGGCCAGTGTTAAGCACCAGAGATCTTTTTTCTCCACCTTCCCAGTGCCCGAATACAAGTGTGTACTTTTATGTCTGGTATTTTTATGTGGGTTCTGGGTATTGAACTCATGCTTATAAGCACTTTACTGGCTGAGTCATCCTTCTCCCAGACCTCTGTACTGGAGATTCTTCTCTCTCTCTTTCTCTCTTTCTCTCTCTCTGTCTCCCTCTCTCTCTCTCCCTCTCTCTCTCTTCTCTTCTTTTTTCTTTTCTACCCTTGCCTCCCAGGTGCTGGGATCAAAAATGTGTATCACTATGGCTGGATCTTTTAAAAAATATATTTTTATTTTATGTGTATGAGTGTTTGCCTACATGTATGTATGTGTACCATGTACATGCTCAGTGCCTGCAGAGGCCAGAAGATTGTGTCAGATCCCGTGGAACTGGAGTTACTGGAAATTATGAACTGCCATTTAGGTGCTGGGAACTGAATCAGGGACCTCTGGAAGAGAAGCAAATGTGCATTTTTTCTACCTATGATTTGCTACCAGAGTAAGTAAAACAAAGCTCTGACACATTTGTTTCCCAAGTACTAAATATGAATTGTGAGTCACTGGCCAATATAGACTGCAAGTCTTTATGCAATTGTAAGTCTGACTTGGTTACTTGAAATGAGATCACCATTCCAAGTGGTGCCTAGAAAAGTAATCACTACTCTAAATGCTCCAGAGCTGTGTAAATTCCAGATTGTTAACCTTGGTGACAAAGAAATGAACTCATACATTTTTATCTTGGCTATAGTCATATTAACACCATTTGACAAAGGTTTTACTCACAGTAGATGCTCATTAAATATTTATCTATTAAACATTAAATGACTTGCTGACTGGAGGAAGTAACTGTGAACTTTTAGCAGAGGGGACAGGGAAGGAGAGAAACAGAGTCACTGAGTACCTCCCATATACCAGACACATCTACCTTTTCTTCCATGAGTGCTGAAATATCTTCACTTTATAGATCACTGAGACAGGACTTGCCCTGCCAGGTTACATGACATGCCTGAGGTCCATGGGCTAGGTAAGTATGGGCAATTCAAACTGAAGGCTGACTCAGAAACTCTATCCTTTCAAATAATCTCTCGTTGATAAAAGTGTTCTGGAAGATGGACTCTTCCCATAGGGGAATCAGGGAACGGTTCTCTTGCTTTTTCCAGCATGCAGAGAACTAAGGCTTTGTTTTTTCTTCCACAAAGGCTGCATGGGATGAAGGGGTTCAGCTATGGTTTTCATGAGAAACCAAGTGCCTTGTAGATACAAATAAGGAGACTGGCTCTGTGAACGTGCTTTGTGGCTGCAAGAGGGCTCATTAGGCAACATTTGGGTTTCCATGCCAAATATCTGCATAATAAGTACCCAAACAACCTTCAGCTATCTGTGTTACAGTATAAACACTGCACACCAAAAAAGAGGAATGTGCATTGGTGATAACTTAGAGGACGTTCTGGTCTCAGTGACATTTGGAAAGAAGTCTTTGTTCCTAATTAGCAGGAGCACCCATCAAACTCTGTCATTTGCTTCAAAATTCATCTACATGGACCTAGCCCAAGTCACTTCATTTACTTTGACACTCTTCCTAGCTTGATTAATTTTCATTTCTCTATGTCCTTACCCTTTGATACTAGTTATTTTCATTTCAAAAGATGTCCTTTCTTGTTCAGATAGTAATATCCTTAAATTTGGATGTTTCTCATGTATCTATTGTGTCTGATTAAGTGAGTTAAAGGTACTGGGTATACCTCTATACAGACACTAAGAAGTGAAAATAAGGATGCAAAGATACCTAGGTTTCAGGAAAAACTGGTCATTCATCATTTTATTAGTTAACCTTTTTTTTTTTTCTATTTGGGGATGGAACCCAAGGCTTTGCACATGCTAGGCAAATATTCTACCGTTTTCCTAGTGATCCCTCTGAGCACAGGCTTTACAAGTATGCACTATCAGGTCTGGCTTTACAGATTTTAAAAATACTTTTTAGGTTTATTTAAAATTACGTAAAGGGAAAGCTCTTATATAGCATCTTACCCTCTGAGACATAGGGTGTCCCCTTGCCACTGTCCTGTGCTAGTGTGATGACTGATAAGCCAGCATGGATATGCTCTTATGAACTAAAGTCATGTCTGTATTAGGCACTGCCTGTAAATAAGTCTATGGACATTAACCAGAGTGTAAAATGATGTGTCTATCATCACAGTATCATACAAAACTATTTCTCTGCTCGAACCAACCCCGGTATTTCTGTGTTTCTTTTATCCTTTCTTTAAAGAATTCTGTTTAACTGAACTCTACCATTAAGGATATGTTGTCAGGGAAGCAGGACAACCAGCAGCTTGCAAAATAAATCACCATATCTTAGCCTGGCATTAGAAGTCCTCCACAGCATAGCCCTCACTTACCTTTTCAGTCTTAGTTCCCTTTAGTTGTTTCAGTCCTTATCCCCATGTGTGGCATGTCCTACTGCTAGATGTACCGCACTGTCTACCTGCCCTGCACGCCCTACTCTTGCCCTTCTTTGTAGAGCAGATTCCTGAGGTCACTATCTTTTTCCTATTCCTTATTTCTGTGCACCACACTCCTCCTTGTCTTTCAAAGCTAAATACTACTTTCTCCATGAAACCTTTCATGAATCCTCCTCTTCTTTAATGCTGACTTAATTTCTGATCTGTTTAAGTAACTATACTATAGATACAACATATCTATATAATATATAATGCTATAGATATAAGTACCATAGACTCTATGGCATTTGCATGTTGTCTGGAATGAAGAGACACCTTATCATCCTGTTTCTCATTAGTCCTTCTGCACAGTTATTGTGTTCTAAACACTTGCCAATTAAGTGATACTGTTATATGGGGAAGGATAGAGTGACTTCTCATTTTGCTCAGAAGGAAGAAGAAAATTAAGATACTTTCTCAATGCTTTAGTTTTGTCATGATGTGAGCTCCCCTGAAAAGATTAAGTTTTGGTATTAAAACTAAGATACAGAATGAGCTCAAACCTTGCTCTCAACCCTGTGTTTTAGTCTTTTCCCTTTGGGGATTATCAGGAAGATTAAAACTTGGTAACCTTCTTCTTTTGCCATACTGGGCACTGAAACCAGACTTGCTTTATTACTGAGGTATACCCTAGTGAAGGTTTCCTTATTTTTCTAAGAAGGGAGGACAAAGGAGAAAGAAAAGCATTTGCTTCTTCATCTCTAAGAAGACATTGCTGAAATAGATGCTTTCCCCCCTCTCTCTTTTCTGTATTCTGGGACACCATGACCTCAACAGCATTATTCCATGGACATGGTTACTGGGAGGCACAGGATTCAAATATGCTTTATTTTACTTTGACTTAGAGATGGTCCAGGAAAGCTGCTTCTTATTTTGTCTCTAGAAAACATAAGCTTCTGTTGCTGCCAAGCTGTAAGTCTAGTAGGTGTTTTTTGTTACTCCGTGCAATTACCCATGAAAGAGCAAATGGACAAAATATTTGCATGAACAACAGCCCTTCTTAGGAA